CACACACACACACACACACACACACACACACACACACACACACACACCACCGAGAGTACAAAGGGTTACTGGGTCCTACTAGTCAGGGAACTAACTCATCATGATAGCTGATGTGCCTACAGAATACTTGATATTACTAGGCAAGCTTGTATTTTGACAATTAGATAGCATTTACAAATATAAATTCTGTTCCTCCATTTCTGTTGATCTTTTCATATTCTCCCTCTTAAAATATTATACACATTAATTGCAAAACTTTGACAGATAGAATTTAATGCTTTGTTTGCTTTATGCCTTCAGTGGTGGGGGGCATAGGCATATGATGATATTTTTTAAATATTTTATTCTTTGATCATTTCATAAATGTATATAATGTGATTTGATCATATTTACCTCCCACCTGTTATCCTTGCTTATCTCCCTCCCACTTCAGCCAAATCCCTTCTTGCCAACAAGTCCTCCCCTACTCTGATGTCTTCATTGTGACCCAGGAGATTAGAAAGAGAGTATTTGGCAGGATAACCAACACTAAATATATTCGGAAAACATATAGAAACCTCCTCCTGTAGAAGCTTCCTAAAACAAATCAAACCCAGTAACCCTTTGGACTTTCTGTGGTGTGGACCACAGCAAAACAGTACCTGTGGACACAACAAGGCCATTGCATGCAGAAATCATGTTGGTTGTCACTGTTTGTGCATGATCAAACCAGCCAAAAGTACCAGGATGGATGAGGGAGAAACTCACTCATAAAGTCCCACCCATACCAGAAGAGTGGTTAGCTGAGGGAGGGAGAGACAGTTTTCTTTAGAAATATGGTCCCTGAGAGGCTAACCATGCCCCAGTAGATGGTACAATGCCCATACACTTACAGAAAATAGTAAGTAGACTCAGTGGGTTTAAAACAGCACAAAAAGATGTGAGTAGAAAGTATTGGGCAAGAGGAATTGGAAGACACAGAATGGGAGGTGGATTTGACCAAAACATATGCATCTATGAAAATATCAAATAATTAAAATGTTAAACTAATGTTGTAAAGAGAATGAATATATTTAAGTATTAAATATTTGTCAGTATTTCTAAATTTTCTTCTAATGCCTTTTTTTTCTCCTTAAAAGGGCCAGATGGTCATGTGACTAGATATGATCTGGATTGGCTAGTGAAAAACAGCTATGAAGGGCAGAAACAAAAGGTTATCCAACCTAGAATATTATGGAATGCTAAACTCTACCAGCAAGCCCAAGTTCCATCCGTTGATTTCCAGTGTTTTTTAGAAACAAATGAAGGGTTGAAGACGTTTCTGCAGAACTTTCTGCTGTATGGAATTGCATTTGTAGAAAATGTCCCTCCCACTGAAGAGCATACAGAAAAGTTGGCAGAAAGGGTCAGCTTAATCAGGTAATTTACTACATTTCTGATATTCACAATAACTAATATCTAGAACATGAGCACCAATTAAAAGATGTACAAAGAGCTAGCTTGTGGAGTACTTGTTTCAAATGTAATAGACCCAAGTTTAGTCTCCAGTATTCCATTCCTCACAATAATTTCTCTGTTTCTCTCCTCCTCCCCAGCTCTCTCTCCCTCCTCTTTCTGTCATTAGTTCTTCCTTGTAGTGTAATCTGTTCAAAAGAGGACTGAATTTGTACTATATATTTAAAAAAAAACAGGTTGATGTCCCTGGGAGGCCTACACTTTTCTGAGAGGAGGTGGGAGTGGGGTGGGGTGGATCTGGGGGAGAGGGGAGGTGGAGGAAAGAGATTGGGGGAGGAGAGGGAGGATATATGAGAGAAGAATTAAAAAGGGGTCTAAAAATCATCCATCTTAGATTTCTAACTTTCAATCATAGATTGGTTGTTAATGCCTTATTGAATATATTATATTGCATTCATTAGAATATTCACATCCTAAATTTTATTTTGGTCTTACAGCAACCTTTTAGTCATGTGTTTTATTCTCTATTCCACTGATAAGCACATGATGCTAAGATATACTCAGTGACTTTTCCATGATCACTCTGATATAGAGTATATAGAGTAGTATAGAGATTTAAATACCGTAGATTTCTTGCACCTAAATACAGTATTATTTTTATTACTATTCTTCACTTCTCATTTTCTCTTTTCTTTATTCTTCTATGTTCAAAAGATTAAATGAAGACAAACATCTCTATAATACATGAATAAAATGGAAACTCTTCTGTCACTCTTGGTTATTATATTATCTAATATGTTAGAAAAGTACTATTGTTGAAAATCTGAATATCAATGAAAGACAGGAGTTGTTATATAAATTAATTAAAATTGTCCCTTACTACAAGCAGCCACACCATTGTTTCTATAAAAGGAAAGTAAATACAGGGAATGACTTTGAATGAGGAGACTATAAAAGTAGTATATAATCAATATGCAGTGATCCTTGAGATTTCAGAATGTATGTTTTCAATTCATGTTCCTAGAATGTCAATTGGTAAGAGAATTTTCAAGACTTGTATTTTAACTGTCAATTTCACCTTATAAATAGCAATATGTAACAATAACTATTATATATGCATATATATGAAACAATGATGAATGAAATAAATTTACAAATATGTAATAGTTTTTTCTTGATTTTATTTGACAGAGAAACCATCTATGGAAGGATGTGGTATTTCACTTCAGATTTTTCTAGAGATGACACTGCATACACCAAGCTAGCTCTCGATCGGCATACTGACACTACCTACTTTCAAGAGCCCTGTGGGTGAGTATATTAGAATTTTCCAGTGTAGTATCCTTCTTGTTGATGGTCTTGAGTAGTTTCTTAATCATTGTCTATTCTATTTCAATGAAGATTATACCTACATACTGTGGACTTATATGAGTGTGTCTCTGTCTTCCCCTGGAAACGTAGTCATTTTGAAATATTCTAGTTCAGTCTTCGTTAAACTTTTAGGAATAAAGTTTGTATCAAAAATATAACACATGTATATGTAGTATATATGAAAAAAGACAGACACTGGCTTATACTGTAGCCCTAGCTGCTTTTTCCTAGAACTAGAACCCACCTTGAAAAATCCTAAATCACCTTACCTGAGTTTTACAAGCCACATGACTAAAATATTTTCTCAAAGTAATTACAATTCACCAAAACAGATAACTATGAGCTTTAGAAAATACATTTTGGCAAGGCCAGGCATGGTGGCATAGGCCTTTAATTCTAGTACTCAGGGAGGTAGAAGTAGATGGATTTTACTGTGTTCAGAGACAGCCTTGGCTATATAGTAAGAATTTATCTTTTAAAAATTTATATTTTCTTGCATTTTAGATACTGTATTATAGCAAAAGGGTCCATCCTATAAACACTGCTATTATTAGACTGATATTAAAAAGACTCTATATTATACTTACAAGAAATTGGAGAGAAGAAATGGCTGAAAAATAACTTTTTTCGTAGTAAATCAGTAGCTCATATACTATATTAAATTCCTTACTATTTGCTACTTATTAAAGGCCTCTATATTTGTTACTTTGTGGTTGTTTATCTTGTTTCTGCATACAGATTATGAGCCTGAAACAATATTAGTAAATTGATTGTATATGTACATATGTTTTTAAAAAGATAGTAGGAGAGGGTGATACCTAGCTGATTACTGTTACATTGATAACAGTAATTTATTTAGTTTATTTGAAGAGTTTGTATGTTAAGAATATTTTGGGCCAATGAGATAATTCATCTGGTTAGGATACTTGTCACCAAACCTGATGACCTGAGTTTAGTCCCTGGAACATCCACATGGTGGAATGGGAGAACCGATCCCCACAATTTTCCTCTGGCTTCCATACATGTGCCATGGCATGCACATATGTTCACATATGATGACCAGATATAAACAACTATGTTTACATTTTACCTTTTCTAGGCAATTATAAAGACTGAGTAGTTTTGTAGCATAGAGTTATTAGTGAAGAGTTAAGGCTGTGACATCAACTAGACCTTGATCTGCAACCCAGTCTGAACATATATTATTAGCTTTTTGATGTTGAGCATGTAAGTTAAAATCCCCAAGCTTCCATATCTTCATCTGCAAAATGAGATTAGTAATACAATCGACCCATCAATATTGATAAGAAATTAAATTATGTGATAAATTTAAAGCACTTTACATTATACTCAACACTAAGTATTCAGTAAAGATTAGTTGTAATTCACTTTAGTTATTGTAATCACCACTATCATCTTCATTGTTACATGTCTAACCTTTCTAAAGCCACCTTTGCTTTAGGTGTCATCCTTTCTTTAACTGTAGCTTTTCCTCTATCTTTAGCCTTCCCACACCTGCTGACTTCCTATCATTCAGCTTTATTAATTATCTACTTTTGTGTATTTGTCTAGACTTTATATTCTTTTTTCTTTGTGTGTGTATTCTTCTTATATCCTTTTTTTGAAAAGGCTCAAAAGAAACATTTTAATGAATTCCCTTACAACAGAAATATGGCAAAGATGTTCACTATTTCTGAAACTGCTTTTCATAGTTCTTGTTTTGGCCAATGGTAAATGGAGGTTGCAAGAGAAAAATCAAAACTGTCAGTGTTTTCAAATAACAAACAATGAAGGCTAATTTCATAAAGAAAATCTTAAAACCCATTAAGCCATAAATTACAAATGATGGATAAAAACCCAATACTTGTGGGTAATTTAGTATTGTGCAGATAAATTCTCCAGCAAATTAACATAAATTTAATGGTATTACAAGCAAAATTTCAGCAGAATTTTTAACATCTCATCAAACTAACTCTAAAATAAGAAGAGAAAACAAACACCATTAGTATTGAATTATTTTGAAGAAAAAAAAGAGCAGGAACATTCATCTACTAAAATGGATTTAGAGCTACTATAACAAATTGTCTCAACAAGATGGCCTAAAACAACAGGCTTTTATGCTCTCACAGTTCTGCAAACTTTACATCCAAAGTCAAGATGTTGGCAGGGCCACAGTCCCTCAGGAAGCACTGTGGGAAATCCATGCCCTGACTGTTCCAGGGTCTGTGGATTGTTGATATTTCTTAGCTTTCCTTAGCGTGTGGCTACATCCCTCTAGTCTCAGCCTCCATCTTCACATGACTTCTTCTGTATGTCCATGTTTTCTCCTCTTCTCTTTTGTAAAGGCCCTTGTCATTATAGTTAGGACACACCCAGTTAATCCAGGATAAGACTCTTTGTTTAATTACATCTATAAAGACTCTTTTCTGTGTAAGATGACATTTACAAGCGCCAAGTACTTGGATGTGTATATGTTTTTCAAGGGAGGCCAACATTTAACACAATGAACTCTCTCTAACACCTACAAGACATAATGTGAACCCCATGCTCTAGTTCTGTTATACTTATGCAACTATTCCAAGAGTCCAACAGAACAAAATAAAATTCAGAAAGTTCCAAGCTGGAAATTGAACATATGTGATAATGAATGTCATGCCTGGATTTCTGTTGCTGTAATGACCACTATGTCCAGTAACAACTTGAGGATGAGAAGTTTTATTTCAGCCAATGCATCCATATTTATCATCAAGGGAAACTAGAACAGGAGCTTAAGGCAGAATTGAAGAAGAGATCATGGAAGAATGATGCTTAGTGGCTTGCTCCTTATGGCTTCCTCAAACTTCTTATACAACCCATGCCTACCTGCTTGAAGATAGGACCTCCCACAGTGCTCCAGGCCCTCCCTCATAAACCCACATGCCCACAGACATCCCCTGATGGTGTTTTCTTCGTTAAGATTCTGCCTCTCCAGATATGCCTAGGTTTGAGTCAAGTTGACAAGAACTAGCCACCACAACTGACATGACAAACCAGCTAAATCAAAAAGTGAAACAGTTTAAGAAACAAATTTTAAAAACAAACTATAAGGCTGTAGAGATGGCTCAGTGGTTAAGAGCACTGATTGCTCTTCCACAGGTCCTGAGTTCAATTCCCAGCAACCACATGGTGGCTCACAACCATCTGTAATGGGATCTGTTGGCCTCTTCTGGTGTGTCCAAAGACAGTGGCAGTATACTCACATACATAAAATAAATAAACAAACCTTTAAAAAAATTTTAAATGCTTTAAAATAAAAGCAAACTATGTGGACATCATTGTAACTCAGACCTTACTTCATAAATAATGTCAAGCTAAAAAATACAAGTAGATTAAAAACCTAAAGATTAAGAAATGATGGTGTGAATATAGAAAAAATATGGGTGAAAAGACCCAAGCCAAAAGGTTAAAAGTTGGCACCTTTTATTACAATGAAGTTAAAATTGTCTTCTTCCTTAGAGAGTTCCAAATAATATATGTCTGGAAAGTAAAATTTGATTCACCTTCTCTTAACTTTGGACAGAATCTTATGATTCATGTTCAATACAAATAAATCATACAAAAAAATAAAAATTAATCCCATTTGGCCAAGCAGTGGTGGCATATGCCTTTAATCTCAGCACTTGGGAGGCAGAAGCAGGTGGATCCCTGAGTTCAAGGCCACCCTGGTCTGCAGAGTGAGTTCCAGAACAGCCAGGTCTACACAGAGAAACCCTGTCTCAAAAAACCAAATAAATAAATAAATATAGATAGATAGATAGATAGATAGATAGATAGATAACTCCATTATAGAAAAGCCTCGGATGTATCATATAAGATGAGAACACCATCATCACTGATAAATTTTCTTTATATTACATACCCTTTGATGTTATCTGATGAGTGAGACACAATGCTTCTAAGGTCTTTTTTTTTTTTTAGAAAATTCCTGAGCCCAATGTGGCCGTTAGAATACCTCAGATAAGACCAAATTAGACAACATTCTACAGAATGTTTGGCCAATATTCTTTAAAACTCCAAAGATTATTAAACACATGAACACACACTGAGAAACTGCCTTAGATAAAAGAGACTAAGGAGATGTGGCAGCTGAATGTAATATATTGTCCTGAACTGTGTATTAGAACAATCCAAAGAAACACATGTAAGAACTGGAGAAATCAGAATGTCTGTGGTCTAGTTAATACTGTTAAACCATATAACTGCCTTGCTTTTTTGACTAATGTGTCAACTTATGTGGAGGTTAGCAACTAGCAAGAGCTTAGAGGAACTAATAAGATTACTCTGTAATTTCTTTACAACTTTTCTGTAAATGCAAATTATTCTAAATTAAAACATTTTGCCATATATAAAAGATATTCTTCTCAACAAAAGAGAATAAGAGATGCTAGTATGACTGCATAGGGGTTGATGTCAAAAGTATCCCCTCTCCAGGAAAAAGACATCAGGATGGGTATGGCCCTCATGCCTCACTGAACAATGACAGGGGACTGGAGCCATTACAAGGTCCCCTTCAATTACTGGAGGTCAGGCCTCTATCCCCGCCTTCACAAGATTAGAATCAACACAGCCCTTCTGTACTTAGAGAAGGGAGGAGATGTCAAGGGCAGCCCTGCTTACCCACTGAAGGCCTAAAATCAGCCATAAGCCTAAAATCAGCAATAGGCCTGTCATACATGTATACTAACACCAAGTCTTGGGTCTCTGTGGAAAAACATTGAAACAGATGGCTATAAGCTAATGTCAACAGGCAGCTTTTGTGGAAATTTACCAGCCTGAGTAGTCATAGACCTTGTAAATAGGTAGCCTTGGCAGACAATACCAACTTAGATAAGGACAAGTGAATCATAAGCAGAGTCATAGTGATCTGTCCCCTGAACCTTCACCCAGCCAATATCCTGTTC